TCTTTGTATATCTCAATATAGAGAGAAGAAATAAAGAAAACATAATGAAAGAAAACATATATGTTAAAAAAGCCCCATAGCTGATTCTATTACACAGGGACTGGAGCTAGGAGTGGCACATGAAAACATAAGGACAAGCTGTATAGAGAAAAGACAGCCCAATAGCACTGGGTCCAGCTGAGCTTGGATAGCATGAATCTGCAGAGTCTTGATATTTTTCTCTATCAGTACTTCCTAATCTAAAATCACAATGTTAGCCGGAGTGGAAAACAAAGCAGAACACAATGTATATGCTCATACCTGACCAGGGATAAAAGGGTATCTTGCATAAAGGTGACAGCAATGAAAACCAAAAAAGCAGAGAGACTGAAGAAATAGAAGCAGGACTCACTGAAAAATTACATATAAGAAATGAGAAAAAGAGAAATCGGTAAAATGATTCCTAATTTTTTAAAAAGATTTTATAGAGAGAGGGGAAGGGAGGGAGAAAGAAAGGAGAGAGAAACATTGATGTGTGAGAGAAATATCAATTGGTTGCATCCCTCTCATGTGCCAACTGAGGACTGGGTCCATAACCCAGGCATATGCCCAGACTGGGAATCGAGCCAGTGACCTTTTGCTGTGTGGGACAATGCCCAACCAACTGAGCCACACCAGTCAGGGCATGATCCTAATTTTTTATTTGAACAACTGGGTTGACACTGGAATCATCTCATAACATGGAGAAATTAGAGGAGGAACAAATTTGTGAAAAAACAGTGAAGCTAGAGAAGGAATCTAGCATTCTAATTTCACATGGTTTAGGTAGCTAGGACACATGTTAATGAAGATGTCAAATAAGCCATCGTACATACGAGCTGAAGAGCAAACTAGAAAGTTCTGAGCAGTAGCTATAAATTTGAGCCTTGACATTACAAGGATTGCATTCAAAGTCACAGGAATGCATGTACTCACACTGGGAGAGAATGCAAATCAAAGAAACAAGAGTCAAGCTTTTGGGAGTTACGTCAGGCCCTTGATTAACACTGTACTGCTCAACACCGGTGTGCTACAGTGTGGATGAGGAGAAAATCCATTCCCCACCAGGGCCACTGTCTGTGGAGTCTGCACGGTCTCCCCATACGTTTTCTCTGGGGATTCTGCTTTCCTCCCAATCCAAGAGATGTGCACATTCGGTTAACTGGTGTGTCGAGTGACAGGGTGTGTGTGTGGGAGTGCACCCTACAATGGAATGGTGTCCTGTCCAGGGGCTGGTTCCCACCTTGTGTGCCCTGAGCTACTGGGATAGGCTCTGGCCACCCTCAACTCTGAACTAAAATAAGTAGGTTGAAAAATAAATTATTTTACTTATTTTGATTAATCTTTCTTAAATGTACGTATAACTCACATTTATCTCAATGTTTAATATTAGAAGTGTTTTGGGTCTTTACTTAGAAGTTTGGTAATGTTTTTGCGGCCACAAATACAGAACTTAACTCTTGTTTATATCAACTAGCCTACGGTAAAATGGTTTCATTAAAGTATGCCATCTCCCTTAAAGCTGCAGCTTCTAAGAACCTGCTGATGATGTTAAGTGAGGACTTACTTTATAATATTTAGAAGTCAGGCAAAGAATGAACCACTAAGAGATCTGAGAAGAAAGAGCCAGGAACATAGGAAAAAGTAGTGTTTCAAGAATAAAGAAGAACTGAATATTGGTAAGAGCCTGAGTAAGGTGAAAGTGAAATAAAATTACATACAAAGTCTGTATTTGTTGGCATAGAAAAATGGTTTTGACCACACAGCAAAGAAAATGGACCCTGAAGTCATCTGCCTAGGTTCAAATTTCAGTTCAATTACGTAGCAGCTATATGGAATTTTGGCGGGTTATTTATCCTGTCTCCCCGAATCAATCCATGTATAAAATGGGCATAATAGTAATAATATCTATCTAAAAGAACCGTTGTGAAGAACGGTTACTAAATTGCTTAGAAGCCTGCCTGGCGTGTTGTAACTAGTATAACAGTGCACGCTACTATTTATTGTTGTATTAAAACATGCAAGTTACAAAACCATTGACATAACATATATATAACACATATTACACATAATTATATATATAAGTATAAAACACACATATATTACACATAATTTTAGAAACAGAAAAGTTGGGAAGTTACATATCAAAGTAATAAAAGTAGTTCTCTCTCAGCAGTGGAACCAAAGGTGATTTAAAAAAGTATAATGTCGGCTTATTTTCTCATTATTCACAATTAATCATATAAATAAAAAAATTAATTTCAAGGGGGAATGAGAACTGATGCAATTTTTATAACTCAATGGGGAACAGAAAGGTTTCAACTTTCCTAGAATACAAATAATTAGGATAGCCCTGGCTGGTGTAGCTCAGTGGATTGAGCATGAACCTGCAAACCACACAATCAAGGTTCGATTCCTAGTCAGGGCTCATGCCTGGGTTGCAGGCCAGGTCCCCAGCAGGGGACACATGAGAGGCAACCATACACTGATATTTCTCTCCCTCTCTTCTTTCCTTCCCCTCTAAAGGTAAATAAATAAAATCTTTAAAAAATAAAATAAGTAATAAAAAATAAAAGTCAAAAAAAATAAAACAAATAATTTGGATAAAATATAACTTTCCACTGAATATAATCTGACACTACGTTTCCCAGAGTCCCCAGATGTTTCCAATTACTGTGCACTCCACCTAACCCTGGACACTTTAGAGCTCCGAGAGTGGGAATGCATTCACATGCTCACTGTGTAGTTTTAAGCAAGACGACCACCAGGAAAATATTTAATGTCACGTCACACTTTTCTTAAGAACATGTGGAGTAAACAATATCACAAAACCAACTAAAGATAAGGTCCCCAAATGCCAAAATAATGAGATAACTTCAAAAATTATAATGCTAAAAATACTTGCCATGTTAACTATGAAAACTTGTTTTTATACCTCCCCCAATTAAGAATCACATGTAATTCCTAACATATATGCATTATGTTTTAAAAAGGTTAATTTATAACTCTATTCTTAGACATCAGACTACAGCCATATTTTGAAACTATAGTACTGGCCAGCTCACAATAGAAGCTTCATGAATGTAGCTGCCTTATGTGTGTATCTATATAATGTATTGCCAATGCACACAGTGGTTTCTGACATTCAATAAACATTTGTTAATCAACTGACAAGAGGACTATTTGAAGAACGATGTATATTCTATTAACAGAGATGAAAACTATGTACTGACCTTAAGAAAACATTTAAAAGACTATAATTTGTAACCTTCTTTTTCAAAGCAAACAGGGTTATATCCAAGAGAAGTTAGTAAACATAAAAAGAAGTGAGTATGCATACTGTGATCAAAAAGGTGATGTCACTGAAGCTCATCCCAACATACATGTATACTGTCACTGGTTGAATTGTGTATTGTTCTTTCCCCACCACCTCCAAAGTCACATTTTGAAGTCCAAACCACCAGTACCTCGGAATGTGACTGCATGTGGAGACAGGGCCTTTAAATAGGTAGTTACAATGAGGCTGGTAGGGCGCGCTCTAATCCAGTCTGACTGGTGTCCTTATAAGAGAAACTTAGTACACTAAGGCAGTCCAAATTTTATTTACCACATTACCAATAACTCTTGCCTTAATAACATTCAAGAAAAATCATTCTTTAATCCATAATTACTATTAAGCAATCTATTCCTTGAGTTCTTCACATTCAAGTATAGGTCATTGTACTGTTTAAATTTCACTTCTATCTGGCCAATCATCTTCCCAATTGATGATTTCTGGATTTGGGCTCATCATCTAAAATTATCCTCATACTTCAGTTTTAACTTATTTGTAAAATTATTCAACATTCCACCATTGCCTCCATAAAATTAATAAAATGTTTAGTAAGAGAAGGAAGAACCCCAGAACCTGCCCCTGAGGATCTCTGTCCAAGGTACCATTGCCTTCATCAGCCTCATTAGAATTACAGCTATTTGTTGTAATTTAATATAATTTAGCTGCCTACCCAAATGCTTATTCATTGACACTTCTCCATATCATCCTCATGTATGTCAGACTTTTCCAAATCTATTATGGATACGTACACCTACTGCACTACCCTGATCCTCAAGTTCAATAAACCTATCAAAGAAAGCAAAGAAAGGGAAGAAAATGACAAACGTTCTCCTGCCATGACTTGTTCCTAGAGAAACCTGGGCTGGTGGTATATAGTAATCACCACTTTTCTTGGTGCTTGGTCAAGAATAGTAAAACACTGTTGAGTGGGAAATGGAATTTGACTCCATAATTCAACTGTAAGGTTACAAACAGTAGTTTCATACACAGGTGATGGAAACAGAATTATTATAGTTTCTTATTTAATACTATAAATGAAATATTTATTGCAAACATTCATAACATTTTAGCTGATTCCATTTTGACCTGTAAAAATATATTTCATATTTACTTTCAGTTATTAAGGTATCTTTGTTGGGTTTCTCATACATCTAAATTTATCAGTTAAGCAGAGATGTTATATTAATCTGAACATAATTAATGTAATTTCATAGTTATATAATTATAATTAGTATATAATTATATACTATATACTATAACTAGTATATAGTATATAAAAATCGTAATATAATATACTAAGGAAAACGCAGTCGTTCTGGAAAATATTACCCAGGTAGATCGTGTGTGAAGCCAAGCTGGCCTTCCTCTAAATCACACTGTTTCAGAGCTAGTAAGAGACCTGGTATTTACAGCACAATCTCCTCCTTTTATAGAGAACCACCCTGAGGCTCTCAGAGATAGAATGACTTGACCAAACTCAGAAAAGCTAATTCTGGAATGACTGGGCAGAGAAACTACATGTACTCCAAGGGTTACTGAAAATGTTTCGAGAAACTACATGTACTCCAAGGGTTACTGAAAATGTTTCACAAAACTATGTGGTCAAAATGTAACAATAACAACAACAACAACACAAATATGTTCTTACCAACTGGACCTCGCCAAAAGCACCTCTTCCAATAACTTTTACAACATCGTAGTCTTCTGCCTTCATCTGTAGACCTCTGATTTTTTTCACAATTTTCTCATCTACAATAAAAAGATTGCCACATTTATCATTTAATCATAATTATAAACAATATTTTAAAATAATCACTATATTTGTTAACACATTTTTATTTCAAGAAAGTAGGCAAAAATCTACCAGCTTTTTAAAGGTTGCCATTTACAAATCTAAGCTACACATTAACTTCATGTCAAAGAATGAAAATGCTGTTTATTAACACATACAAACAAACACCACTGATTACCAAAGAGTAGCAGTTAAGCTATTCTGTTTCTGACTCTGCTGCCTAGCAAGTTGGATGACAGCTGAAACAGTGATGACTCAAACAATCCTGAGTGCATTCTAAATCATGGAAGAAAGCTGCTATAAAATTACTTGCAGAGCTAACTTACTAATGGATTTTGGCAGCTTGTTTCTTTTGTAATCACATATTGTGGATATGGTAACTATACCAGCAAATACTAAGAGTCACCACATATATGGCAATAATTGTCACTACATTATCTCTCATTAACCACACTGAAACATCTACATTTATACAAACATAATTAAGTCTTCCAGGTAATGTAAAGGTAAGTCTTAGAGTTGTTAGTAGTAATTTAAAACTTCTCTTGGAATTGCCATAAATAATCTGTCCAGAAACTACTAGTCTTAATAATTTATACAAAACCTTGAACTTTACCTACTTTATATACTGTGATTGGTTCTGCTGTTTTGCTTTGAAAATAAAGAATATGAAGTGGTAAGCTAAAAATTACTTAAGTTAATAAGTTTATGAACTTCAATAATATTAATTAAATAAATCTCATTATAGTATAGTTAGGGGATCAAATATGAAGCTTCACATACTTACATCTATTTAAGAAATTGTCTATATTCTTGTTTTTCCTTAAAGCAGGAAAATCCAAATCAAGGACCAAGGAATTTAAGCCATCCTATTTAATAAAAAATAAAAAGAGGAAAAAGTTGTTATAATTTCCAAGCACTTAAAAAATGTCTTTACATTTTATCGTATACTGTTCTCACTGAGAACAACATGTCAATCCTTTGATAGGAAATTGCCCAGTGGCCCCACATTCAACGCCTCTGACTTCCTGTCTGTCGGAGAGCATTAAGGTGGACCCCACCATGCTTTCCTTTGTTCTCTTAGCCAACAGAAAGTCATTTTTGAAATATGCCTCCACTATTATTTTTGTGGGTTAGATGTGTTTTCTCTCTTCAAATGTCCAGTTAAAAATTCGGCAAACTTCTGACTTTAAAAAATACACCCAGACTAAGAGAGTTGCCATTCACTCAACAATCATTAACTTTGTGCCTAGTGCAAAGAATAGAAAACCCAAAAATAAATAAGACACTAACTATCCTTACCTTCAGGGAACTTTAGCCTCAAAACTTCACTTCGCCTAAAAACATGAAAACAGGATGATGTATTGTTCTGATTTCTACTTTCTTCTTTAAGTTTTCTATATTTTCCAAACTTTCTACAAGAATGCATTAAATTTAAAATCAAAGTAGGAAAAACTACCTATATATAATTTGGTGGTTGTGAAAAAAACTAAGAAACAAACTAAGTCTCAAATTAGATATGCCTGTGTAGGAAACCATATTTCTAAAACACTATCTTATATACTGTCTCATCCCCAAGTATATTTTATCCTGAGCAGGGTCCAGGACTCGTTTTAAAAATTAAAAAACTAGGGCTCAAATTAAGTGACTTAAGACTTGCCCAACATCATGGTATTAGGAAAGGACAAAGAGGCTAGTACCCTAAATCTTTGAAGGCACTATAGACTTAACTCATCCCCCTAGTCCCAATAACCATACTAAAACCAAAGGGAACTACTAATTTGTAAGGGTAAAGAAGCTAGAGGATTGCAGAAAACTGCAGGAAGGAAGGGAGGAAGCTGGAGAATTCAGCTAACTTGGAAGGCAGGAAACTAACTGGAGGATTGCAGAAAACAAAACAGCAATAAAGAGACCTTTTAGGTACTATACTTTACCATTCAGTTATATTTTAAATGTTTCACTATTTAAAAAATCTCAATACTTCATGAAAACATCCTTTTGTTTTTTCCTTTAATTGTTTTCCAAGTACAGTTGTCTCCATTTTCCTCCCACCACTTCCCCCTGTCCCATCTTCAATCCTACCCCTCTTTGGCTTTGTCCATGGGTCCTTTATACATGTTCCTTCATGACCCTTCCCACTGTTTCCCCCATTACCCTCCTCCCTTCTGCCCTCTGGTTACTGTCAGTTTGTTCTCTATTTCAATGTCTCTGGTCATATTTTGCTTGTTTGTTTTGTTGATCAGGTTCCACTTATAGGTGAGATCATATGGTATTTGTCTTTCACCGCCTGGCTTATGAAAATATTCTCTAATAACAAAATGGCAGAGGTTTAAGAGTAAGCTATAAACATTTTCAATTGCAATTAAAATAATTGTTACCCCACTGATATGATTAATATAGACACACAAAACAATCTAGATTCTCCTTAATTAAAAGAAAAAGAATACATTAAAAATAATAAATATCCAACTCCCAGTCAAATTGAGATGTTAAATTCAATCTGAGACTACCTCCCCCCCCATGAGGACAATTCCCTCTCCAGGACAGCTGAACTGCTTTTCAAAGATTTCAGCATTTTATCATACTAGACTGTTAATTTTGGTTTTTAAAAAAAGTTTAAAATGTAAAATCTGAATCGCTGATATTTTTAGGTATGTCCATATCTATACTCTGTATTAAAATTTCATATCACAGAAAGGTGCTTTCATGTAGAAAGCATTCTTTTATACCATTAACCTCCAAAGGAAGAAAAAAAAATTTAAATGATAAGGCTGTCAGCCCAAGGCAAGTGCCTCACAGGCTTCACCCCAGACCCAGTCCTAAGAGGAGACTGAAATCTCTATAATTAAAGTCATTAACTAGTGTATTTCAGTGATTTTCCATATTTTTCATCTCATAGCACACAAACTACTAAAATTCTGTGGCACAAAAAATGTTTTTTTGCCAACCTGGTAAAAAAAAATAGGTATAATTTTGATTCATGCACCCCAGACAGCTGTTGTTGTATTGGCTGTTGCCATTTTTTTATTTGACAATCTAAGGGAAAAGATGTCAGTGCCTCTGACTAAATAAATAGGTACTGCATGTTTTTAAAAATCACATTATTAATTTGATTAATGTTTTAGAAGGAGAATTAGTCAAATATTTAAGTGTGAAGTTAGTAACAGGACTAATGGTGATAGTACTGCTCTGACAACAGTAATAAAACAGCTGCTATTTATATAGTGCTTGGATACCAGAAACTATGCCAAACACTTTGTATAACATTTAAGTTTCATTAAGTTAAAATTAGTCATTTAATTCTCCAAGCAGATTGTGAAAGAGATGTTATCATCATTTTTTTCACTTAAAAACATTATGCCTAAGATAACTTAATTTTCCAGAACTGTATAGCTAGGAAGTAGCAAGGTTGGGATTGAGCCCAATGCTGCTTCAACTACTTATTAGTATTTTAAATATTTTAAGTAGGTCCTACATTTTTTCTAAAAATATTGTCAGTGGGAAGATATGAATGAAAGTGCTATTCATAATGTAGTATGTTGCTCGGAAACACATAGACCAAATTAATACCAAGTTATACTTACATTACTGGACTTTGTTTTATAAATCAACAATGGTATCTTTTCCTCTAAAAACAAAGTTTTCCTCCTCAGGAAAAGTATATTTCATTATTCCCACAGAATAAAATAGAAAATCAGCAACTTAAACACATCCCCATTATAAACTATCAGAAAAGCTAATATATCATCTGTCTGAATCATATTTTTTTATTTAACACTGGTATTCAATTGAAAAACTATTGTAGATAAAATTAGAGTTGCTATTCTAATACTGATTATGAACAAATCAGACTTTTAAAAGATGGTTTTCATATTTGTAACTCACAAAATTAAATATCATACATCAACTTTGGGACAAAAAAATCCCCTGCTCATTCAGGATATAACAAATATACACAAGGAGAAAAATGCTGTTATTATTCGTTTTCCTATTCTGCACTAGCGGTACATATAAAAAGCAAATTAGCCCTGGCTGGTGTAGCTCAGTGGATTGAGCACAGGCTGTGAACCAAAGGGTCACTAGTTTGATTCTCAGTCAGGGCACACGCCTGGGTTGCAGGCCAGGTCCTCAGTGTGGGGCATGTGAGAGGCAACCACAAATTGATATTTCTCTCCTTCTTTTTCTCCCTCCCTTACCCTCTCTCTGAAAATAACTAAGTAAAATCTTTTGAAAAATAACAAGAAATCATTAAAATTGATAGTTATAGTACAGTGTAGGGAATATAGTCAATAATATTATAATAACCATATATGATACCAGCTAGGTACTAGACTTCCCAGGGGGATCACTTCATGAATTACATGACTGTCTAACCACTATGCTGTATACGTGAAACTAATATGTCAGCTGTAATAAAAAAAATTTTAAAGTAAAATAAAAATGTTTCAAAATAGTGCTTCAAAAGACTATACAATGTAAAATATTGATATTTTTAAAAGTACATTATATAAAACTGAATGCATGATAATTCTAGTTAAAGGAAGTATGCACATGAAAATTATTGAATGAAAATGCAAAGTGAATACAGTAATTGTGATAGCATAGTGAATTATATGGTTTTATTCTTTTCCTTTCCTGAATTCTAACATTTTTGTGATGTTATTTTGTAACTCAAAATAAAATATAGTAAAACCTAAGTGAACAAGATCTGAAGTACTAGAAGAACACACCTTAATAAATTTATACTTAAAAATACTCATGCATTGGGTTGGCCAAAAAGTCTGTTTAGTTTTTTCCACACTTTTCATTTTCACCATTAATTTTATTGATTTGGATATTTAGGGTGTGTCAGCTGTCTCCCGCTATTGGCTCCTAATGGGTAGAGGCCAGAGGTGCTGCTAAACATCTTCCAGAGCTTAAGACAGCCCTCTGGCAAAGAATTATTTGGCCAAAATGTCAAAAGTACCAAGAAACTTTGCAAACCACTTTTGAAATGTTTGATCAGTCACAGCACCTTCTCCATACACTGCACAAATCTTTTTTTGCGTTTCAGCTGTGTTTTTACCTTTCTTGAAATAATAAAGCATAACATGCCAAAAATGTTCCTTCTTCCACCTTCAATATTAAAATGGCTGCAATAAAAATTCACCAATTTTGGTTTTTTAAAGGGACTTCCGCCAAGATGGAGGATTAAGGTGGATGTGCCTGCCTCCTCTCACAACCAAGTTTAAGGACAACTAAATATTAGCATCAGAAAACACAACCAGAACACGGAAAACTGAACTTTTCGGAAGTCCGCAAACAACAAATTCTTCAGCCCGGCCGGTAAGGGGCGAAACCGGCGGCGGGTGAGGAGTTACAAAGGAGAACTTGATCGACTCGGGCGCGGGCGCGGAATCCAGTCGCGCGAATCCAGTCGCACGGGTTCCAAACCCAGGATTGGACCTAGTGAGCAGCCCACCGGGTGAGCGACTACGGAGGAGTCAGTGGGGAGGCGGTGGCAGCGAATTGACTGTGGGTGCCCGGTTACGCGCGGGTGAGGGAGTGAGCGGGGGACCGGCGGCGGCGGCGCCATTTTCCCTGCTCTGACCACGCCCCCACATACAGCGTCACAACCCAGCGACCTGGGACTCCAAGGCGCCGCTTCTCACACTTAAAGGGCCAGAACAGACCAAAAATGTCGCAGGGGGACCACAAAGTCCCGGAGATAAATCTAAGTGATGAAGAAATAGCAAATCTCTCAGACGCACAGTTTAAAACACTGGTCGTCAGCTTCCTCACAGATCTGGTGGACTATAGCCACAAATTAGAGAAACATATGAAGGCTAAATTAAGGGAAATGAATGGAATTCCACAGGAAACCCATAGA